ATGAAATTTTTTACAGTACATCTTATTGTGTTATAAAATATTTGTGTATTATCAAAGAGTCCATTGCATTTAATAGCGGCTTATATTGGTGTGCAGCATAAATCGGTGTTTTTACTTAATTTATAGCTATGAGGTAGTAGCGGGGAGGTGGTGGTAGCTATAAATGAAAGATACTTCACATATACATATATTCTATTCTAGAAGCTACATGTAAAGTTTGGTGACTCTAGCTCTTATTATTCACCAAACTTGCTCAAAAACAGGATTTCGATATCGATTTTTATCGACTACTTGGAAACGGGACAAGTTATCGAATATCAGAAATAAACTCTATCTGCGCAGGCACTAGGAGGACCTACAGCTGAAATTTCATACGTTCATACACACGGACAGTCGGACGGACAGACAGACGGATATGGCTAAATTGACTCGGCTATTGATGCTGATCACGAATATATATACCTTATGGGGTCGGAGATGCTCCCTTCTGCCTATTACATACATTTGCACAAATACAATATACGACAAAATTATAATACCCTCTGCAAGGGTATAAAAGTTGTTTCCTCGGTAGGGTTTAAACTCGCAACAGACCGCTATACTTGCCGCCCCCTCTACCCAACAGCCACACCAATCATTGAGTCTTAATGAGTAAAAAACAAATTAATATAGCAGCACAGAAAACAATACAATCGCAATTTCTATGCTGCTGATAGAATTCAAAGCAGACAATGATACAAGGAAAGTCAAAACACGTTTTCTTTAATAATTGTGTTTCTTAACCGATCTTAATGAAATTTTTTACAGTACATCTTACTGTGTTATGGAATATTTGTGTATTATCAGAGTCCATTGCATTTAATAGCGGCTTATATTGGTGTGCAGCATAAATTGGTGTTTTTACTTAATTTATAGCTATGAGATAGTAGCGGGGAGGTGGTGGTAGCTATAAATGAAAGATACTTCACATATACATATATTCTATTCTAGAAGCTACATGTAAAGTTTGGTGACTCTAGCTCCTTTTATTCACCAAACTTGCTCAAAAACAGGATTTCGATATCGATTTGTATCGACTACTTGGAAACGGGACAAGTTATCGAATATCAGAAATAAACTCTATCTGCGCAGGCACTAGGAGGACCTACAGCTGAAATTTCATACGTTCATACACACGGACAGTCGGACGGACAGACAGACGGATATGGCTAAATCGACGCGGCTATTGATGCTGATCACGAATATATAAACTTTATGGGGTCGGAGATGCTTCCTTCTGCCTATTACATACATTTGCACAAATACAATATACCTCTTTAACCCATTTTAAATGGGTTCAGGGTATAAAAGAAGGGTAATAAACCTTTAAATAATATTATGGTAAAAAACAAATAATTTTATTTGGAAATAAATTTAAATGAAGCAATTAAATGGAACGGAAAAAGAAAGTGAATCGTCGTTAAGTACGAGTGGAGAGAAAAGGAAAATAAAACAGAACCAAATAATTCTAATAACCCATTAAGAACAAAATATACGCAATTTTCTTTATTTTTTTTTGTGCTCGGTTGAGAGAACTACAAACTCCGTGCGCATGGTTACTGGGAACGATTTTGACTAATAGAGAGAAAACAATTTCATAACAAAAAATAATGATGAAAGTATATGATTAAATAATATAAAAAAGAAATAATAATAAAGAGAAGATAATTTTAAAAATACAAAAAAAAAATAATTATCATAACATGAGAATTAACAATAAGCGTAGATGGTTTAATAATATGAAATAAATAATAATAGCAGATAATTTAATAAAATGAAAATAAACGAAAGGTGTAAATGGTTTGATAATAGAAAATAAATAACTTAAATATATATAAAACGAGAAAGAAGTGCTATGTTCGGCACACCGAAGATTTAATACCCTTGCAGACCCAACCTTTTCAAAATGCTCATAGTGCTTTGCCCGTATCTAAGAAGCACAGGGAAAATAGTTAATGGCGAGTATGGTTAAGATATCATGAAAAACAAAACAGGTTTCCATACAACAACTTAATTTTCGACCGATCGTTCCTATGGCAGCTATATGATATAGTAGCCCGATGTGAATAAGATTTTGCATAAGTGGAGGGAGCATAGTAAAACTAATAAATGCCGAGCTTGGTCAAGATATCTTGAAAAACAAAAAAATTCCATACAACAGCATAATTTTCGACCGATCGTTCCTAAGGCAGCTATATGATATAGTTGTCCGATCTTAATAGGATTTTGCATATATATGGGCAGCGTAGTAAAACTAATAAACACCGAGTTTGGTCAAGATATCTTGAAACACATAAAAATTTTCCATACAAAAACTTAATTTTCGACCGATCTTTCCTATGGCAGCTATATGATATAGTTGTCCGATCTTAATAGGATTTTGCATATATATGGGGAGCGTAGTAAAACTAAAAAATACCGAGTTTGGTCAAGATATCTTGAAACACATAAAAATTTGCCATACAAAAACTTAATTTTCGACCGATCGTTCCTATGGCAGCTATATGATATAGTTGCCCGATCTTAATAGAATTTGGCATATATATGGGGAGCTTAGTAAAACTAATAAGCACCGAGTTTGGTCAAGATATCTTAAAAAACATCAAAATTTTCCATACAAAAACTTAATTTTCGACCGATCGTTCCTATGGCAGCTATATGATATAGTTGTCCGATCTTAATAGGATTTTGCATATATATGGGGAACGTAGTAAAACTAATAAATACCAAGTTTAGTAAAGAGAACTTTATAAACAAAAATGTTTTTCATACAAGAACCTACTTTTCGACCGATCGTTCCTATGGCAGCTATATGATATAGTGGTCCGATCCAGCTGGTTTTAACATATGAACTGCGTGCAACAGAAAGAGGGAATTCTGCAAAGTTTCATAAAGATAGCTTTAAAACTGAGAAACTAGTTCGCATAGAAACAGACAGACGGACAGGCGGACATGGCTATATCAACTCGGCTGTTGATACTGATCAAGAATATATATACTTTATGGGGTCGGAGATGTCTCCTTCTATGCGTTACACATTTCACGACAAAATTATAATACCCTCTGCAAGGGTATAAAAAAAGTGAAAGACAGTGAACAAAAAGGGTTGAAACGATAGGGGGTGAAAAAAGAATAAACAAAGCGAGGAAATAAATTCAAGGAGTAAGACGAGCGCCGGAGCCCAGGTACCTTGGAAGCAAAAATAATAAAGGATGGATACGGGCGAGTGTAAAAATCCTGGGGTGGGCGTTGGATCTACCAACATCTGAAAGAAGAGTTGGAAAAGCTCGCTCGCTGGGATAAACGAGCGAGGGCGGATTGAAGACCTGTGCCGTCGTTTGGCAAACTTCGTTTCGGGGGTCTGCACTCAACTAAAATATGGACTCGGCTAGCCGAGTTCGAGGTCAGGTGGGTAGAGGACGAAATTCGCGACCGCCGTCAACGAGATGATGAAGGATACGTGGTGGAAATGTGCAGTACGTGGTGGAGATGCGGGTGTTGGCTCGGAGTCAGATGTCGCACGAATGGAACGAACAAAGATCAGTCTAGCAGTTTGGACGATTAGCATGCCCCAGCTGATAATGTATTGGCTCCAAGGTCAGGTGATTCTATGGACTTCCTCTGTGCGATAGGCACAGCAGACCTGGTACTTCTGACGGAAGAGTTGGTGCGATTCAAAGGGCTGGAGGGCGTGTCCCATATAACCCATGAAACAGAGGTACTACCCGAGCAACCCCGCGATCGAACGAGTCATCAACGAACAGGTGGAAGAACTACTCCGAACGGAGGGCCATCAAGAAGCCCGCACAGCGCGCCGATCGTGCTTGTGAAGAAGAAGACGGGGGAATGGCGGATTTGCAATGAGGACAGGCAGCTCAACGCGCGTTCAGTACAAGATGCATACGCAGTACCCCGGATAAACTACATATTGGAACGTCTATAACACGTTCGTTATATCTCGACGCTGGATTTGAAGCAAGGATACTGGTAAATATCCATGGAGGAGAGTAGCAAGCATGCTGTATGGCGTTTACGGTCCCAGGGGGCTATACCAGTGGAAAGTGATGCTCTTCAGTCTACACTCCGCGTGCGCTACTTTCCAGAGGGCCTTGGACTCCGTAAATGGGCCAGAAATGGAACCTCACGCATTTGCCTACTTGGACGACATTATCGTCATGGGCGTAACGAAGGAGCAGCACGTGGCCAATTTGAGGGAAGTGTTCCGACGGCTAAGAGAGGGTAACCTGATCTGGGATTGGCATCATGGTACCGGCAGTTCGTGCCAAATTTTGCATCGGTCGTGCAGTCAATGACCGCTCTATTTTAGAAAGGGATGAAGCGGTCGTAGGGAGCAACTAATGGAGCGGCTGCCAACAGCTGCGATCCTCGCGGGCTCAGACTTCAGCAGGAAATTCGTGTTGGCGCTGTCCTGACGCAGAGCTAAGGCGGAGGAGGCGGAAGATTGCATATGCAAGTTGAAAACTCTTGAAGGCAGAGATCAACTATTCGGCCACGTAAAAATAGTGTCTAGCAATCTGGCCAATTCGATATTTGAGGTGCTACCTGGAAGAATACCGGCTCTGTGTTATCTCCGACCACATGGCGCTCAAGTTACATACATTTGCACAAAACCATTATACTTTAATGGGATCAGGGCAAAATAAAGTATCACCAAAATGATAAATGTGCTCTGCATATGGAAAACGAGAATTTGTATACCTTTTGTAATTTAAAAGATCGACTCGTTCATACAAATGGACAGATAGGCGGAGAGCTAAGCTATGAGTTAAAGTTTACTGACATGCCTAGATCGACTCAGTTCGTCATCTTGGTCAAGAACATATATACTTTGTAGGGTTGGCCATGCCAATTTGCCATTTTTAATGATGCCGTTTCTTTTTAAATCAAGTGTTAGCTTTCTAGTAAAACACTTTCAAATCAGATTCAAGAAAAATTCTTACCTTCTTCGTCCGTTAAATGGCTATGAAGAGGTATAAGTGCCTTAAATAGCCTGTTTTCATCAACAAATGGTAGCAAGGCAACTCCTTGCCATGCGAACTTTTTTCCATTTAGATCAATTTTAAAATCGTCGGGATAAAAGTCAATTATGGTTGAGTCCTAGAAAAGAAATGAAAAATTCAATATTAGGTGACAATCCTCCATATGACAAAAATTTCCATTAAGAATAGCATAGGCCGACCAAGGAATTTTCAACCTTGGCCCTCCAAGAGTATACTGGTATGGCAATGAACTCAGTATTATCTTGAATTCAAGTTGAACAGCACTTACAGTAAATCCCAAAACCGACAAATCTCGCGCGTGTTCTTACTCGGTGATGAACAATAATGCAGACGATAGAGCTAATTCGCGTCAAAAACAGTAGACAGGCTACAAGGCGTCAGTCAATCTCTTTCGGAGACTGGACTGGCCAAAAATGCAACCAGTTCCTCATTCAAGGCTATTATAGAGTCCAAGGTGCATTCCAAATCTATAAAATATAAAATCTATATGGTCAAAAGTGACCAGGCCCCTGAGCCCGCTCCATAAAAGTATAGAGGACTGGATCATACTAAATATACGTTATTACGTATACATAAGCTTGACCTAGCCCAGCTTCTTTAGGAGCTGACAGATCTGTTCCAAAGAACCTTACCGTTTCCTTTATCTCGCCCTTCGCAGGATCCTCCAGTCCCCAGTTTCACATCTAGGTTATTACCTAGTTATTACCTAGTTATTACCTAGATGTGAAACTGGGGACTGGAGGATCCTGCGAAGGGCGAGATAAAGGAAACGGTAAGGTTCTTTGGAACAGATCTGTCAGCTCCTAAAGAAGCTGGGCTAGGTCAAGCTTATGTATAGTAATGATGTCAGGCGCACAGCTCAAGCTTAGGGTGATGAAGATTTATCTGCTTCACCCAGTCTAGATAACCCTTTGCGGAACTGCTTCGCTAAATGGACGAGGTGGAAATTGGTTATTAACTCATCTAAGAACCCAGGACTATAAGTGAAAGAGTTTGTGGATTGGAGTCTAGCGAATACCATCTCTCTTTTCGCGGGACGCAAGAAATAACAAAATTGTAGTGATTAAAATTTTTGTGGTTAACGTTGGAAGCATAATTATCCTCATGATAAGTAAACTTTGTCCATATAGCATCTTGAAGTTAAAAAAGAAGTTGCTTCACAACAAATCGGAAGTTACTCTTTAAAACTTTAATATAATGCTGAATAGGTCCAATCATTCGTAAGTCTTAGGTCACAGGCACTATGTATCCAGATAATCGCAAATTATGTCTCTAGCTGAAGTGCATCCACCGTCAAACGTTGGAAAAATCGGAACTCTAGCAAACCAAATGCAATGCATTAGGCTAAAATATATAGTTTCTATCTTAATTATAAAAATTATATTATAAAGTTGTTTCTAGATAGCTTTCTTCCGGTATGCGTGCTGTTTTTGGTGGAAGCATTTTTAGGTTATCCCCTAGTCGGGCACCCCGGATAGTTAATTCAGGTGCAGAGGGGTCATCGCGCTAGCTGGCAAGCTAACATGGTTTTGCAAATTTGGCAAAACGGTTGTAATAGAGCATAATTGTGAAATCAGAGGAACCAATAGCCACCAATGGTTCCCACGAAAGGCGAGCCCTTATTATATTAGTTTGAAAAACCAAATCACTGCTAGCACATAGTCCTGCCTTTTAAATAAAGAAATCAGTTTACTATAAATAATAACCAATCAATTGGTTTATGTGCGCCGGAGCAGGGAGGCGCAAATTAAACAATGAATAAAATACTTCAAAAAGAACAGTCCGCATACAAAATTATTTCCCAGAATTAGTTCCACAATAGAGTTAGATACTTCTATGCTAACTGGCCAAGCTAATTATCAAAATAGGACTTAAGTTATAGGTTAGAATCGAAATATGACTCAACAGAATTATACACTAGTATATATGACTAAACAGAATTATAAACAAGTATATATGATGCTCAGGCTCTATACCATATCCATTATATATTCTACTCATAAAGCTAACAAGGAATGGAATTTAAGTTAGCCGATGATGTGAATTTTTTAAACTTGGCCCATCCTCTTTCCCCCAACTTGAGGTAGAAATAAGGATCAATTAACAAGAGACTCTGATCGGGAGTTCCTAGTACCCTAAACCCTCTTCTACCAACACCAAATGCAGCTCTTGTTACGAGCTCGTTTGCTAAGTGCTTCTCCAACCGGACTCGAATCCGTAGCAACCGCACTACTTGCCACCGCCTCTACTCGACAGCCATACCAATAATTCATTTTCCACGAGAGAAAATCGAATCAAAATAGCAACACATAAACACAGCACAGAAAACAATACAATCGCAATTGTAACGCTGTTGAATGTGTGTGTGTACCTGTGTACAAAATTCTTGCAATTTGCGCAAGCTACCGCAAACATGTTTTCTTAAAAAACTCTTGTATTACTTAACCGAACTTGCAACCGATGCAATTTTCAAGTAGATATTATTGTGCTAATATAATGAATATTTGTATACTCTCAAAAAAGACAATTGCATTAAAATTGGTGGGTAGTTCTAATTGATTTATAGCTAAATAGTGAAGGCGGGGCGACAGCTATAAAATGAAAGATACTTGATCTGAATCATGCAGCTACTTGTCAAATTTGGTGACTAAGCTTTTTAAACCTAACAGATTTGCTCAAAGCAGCAGGATTTCGATATCGATTTTCAGCGATTGCTTGAAATTCGGGCAAGCGGGGGTTTCTTTTTTTTTCTTTTTTATTTTATTGCCATATGACCACTAAATTTGATTAGGGCATTGAATATTATTAACATTCTAGTTTTTCCACAAATTTCTGCTGGTCAGTAAACCATTAAAGCCATTTGGCCCTGATATACTTATTCAAACACATATGTAGTATGTGTGTGTAAAGCTTGGGCATTTAGAGGTCCAATAACTTCAAATCTTTTCAAATTTGCATCGGATAGGTAGGCAACCATAGCCACACAAGCGCAAAAATGCTTATATACATATACAAATTTGTGTTATTGTGCGTGCACGGCCGGTCCAAAGAGTTTCCCCTCATTTCAACATTTACTTTTACTCTTTCTTTCTCTACTCGTACTCTTTCACATCGACGTGGCAAATTCTTCATTATTTCATATTACTGCTCCCCTTAAAGATAATAATGAAAGAGCATTGAGAGCACTGAGATAAAACTAAAGTAGTTTCCCGTAGTGGGAGCGAAGTAAGTTAGCAATTCCGTTCAATCCCACAAAACTTGTGGCTCTCTAACTCTTTGGGCAAGTGAGAGATTTTTGGACCCGTACAAAATCGGATAGGACCCTGGATCCGGACCCAGGTGTACCCGCCATACATGTTGAATGGTAACAATCAAAACAAAGCATCTCCGTCGGCATTAAGCATATATATTCTTGGTCAGCAACAATAGTGGAGTCATTCTAGATGTCTGTCTGTCCGTATGTATGCCAGAACCTATGAGAGCTAGAGAATTGAGTAAAGAGTCCTAGTGGCCGTGCAGTTAGATTTTGTTTCCTGCCACCGATAACTTGCACCGCTTCTAAGCAATCGTTGAAAATCGGTATCAGAATCATTTTTTTAAGCGGTTTTAAGAGTAAGAGTCATAAAGTTTGACATAGCTTCTGTGTATCATCATATATATATATTTTGATTTTTGGATACCGTCCCTATACCGCAAAATAAAATAAATAAAAGCCTGAATCGGAATCAGATATCAATTTAATGCTGAAATACTGTTAGCGAATATACGAAAATACTATGATATACTCCCGAAAATTTCATTAAGATCATTTTAGAAACACAGAAGTCATTAAAGAAAACATTGAACAGCCACTTGGTAGCAACCGCAAAGCGCAAGAACTTCGACACACGTACATTTAAGTGAGAGTATTTTTTGAATTTTAGAAGTAGAATGCATTGTATGCTGACCTGTGTATCTGTGCTTATATTTTAGTTTATTTATTTTTTCATAAAGATCCAATACTTATGGCGTCAGGTTTCAAGATAAGACATTAACGAAATGGCTAAAAATAAGTTAAAAGTTCCTTCTCTATAATGGCAACAATGGTTCTGAAATACAGGAATGGGACGCAATGAGATTCATTATGGTTTAATCCCAAATGGAAGATTATTAGTGAATCTGTAAGGAATATCGATGTTATCCGATAAGCGAGCATTCATTTTTCAATTTTCAAATCCCTACTTTCAGTGCACAATATTAATATACTCTATTGATGCTGATCAAAAACATATGTATATCTTTTATGGGGTCGAATATGCTTGTTTTGTCTTATTTGCACAATACCATTATACCGTCTTTACCAATTTCCAATGGGTTCAGGTAATAATTCACTCGTTGGATACCTCCTCCTTAACACATCTTATTTGTTTATGCACGTATCAAGGGCAAGTAAAATGTCCTGATCGGACATTGCCCACTCGAAAACTCTTACTTGCAAAGTACATATACAAATATATAATTTTACAACGAAGTTTATTACTTACAGGTCTGGACATTAGTTGTGCCCAAGGCTCTGGAACATGGGAACTGCTAGCTGCTGGAAAAACACCCATCAGTTGCTCTAAGGGATTAAACTAAAATACAGAAAATAATAGAAATTTGTTTATTAGTATATAAAGCGGGGTTGCATAGAAAAAAGTAAAGTTCACTAGTCGGAAGTTCCAGACTAGGGGATACCCCAAATCGTCTTCTACCAACACCAAATGTAAATAAATAGTAATTAAAAAAAATAAAAATTTCCTCAATTGGACTGGAACACATAACCCAACAGAGCTTCTTGTCACCTTTTCTATTTGACTGCCATGCCACCAATTCATTATCAATGACAAAGAAAAAACGAATTCAAATAGCAGCCTATACACATAGCACAGATTACAATCGAAATTGTAATGCTGTTTATAGACTGCAATTAAGACGAGCAGGTATGTGTGTGTGGACATGTTTACAGTAATTCTTGCAATTTGCGCTAGCTGCAGCAAACACGTGGACAATAAAGGCACACGTTATTTTTAACAACTTCTGTGTTTCTTAACCGATCTATATAACATTTTTAGCAGTAGACCTTTTTTTATATGGTTTGTATATTCTCAAAAAGAAAATTGTGGTTTAAACAGATGGGTAGCTTAAATTAATTTATTTGTTTGATTTATAAAATGAAAGAGACTTGATACTTGATGCTGATCAAGAATATACATACTTTATGGGGTCGGAGATGATCAATGAATCAAAATAGCAACACATAAACACAGCACAGAAAACAAAATATACAAAATTCTTGCAATTTGCGCAAACACGTTTTCTTAAAAAACTTTTGTATTACTTAACCGAACTTGATGCAATTTTCAAGTAGATATTATTGTGCTAATATAATGAATATTTGTATACTCTCAAAAAAGACAATTGCATTAAAATTGGTGGGTAGTTCTAATTGATTTATATCTAAATAGTGGAGGCAGCTATAAAATGAAGATACTTGATCTGAATCATGCAGCTACTTGTCAAATTTGGTGACTAAGCTTTTTAAACCTAACAGATGCTTCCTTCTGCCTGCTACATAAATTTGCACAAATATATTATACACTCTTACCCGTTTACAGTGGGTTCGGGTTATAAGAATGATAGTGAGGAACAGTGCTTAAATAATATACCAGGGTCAAAGGTACATTTTATTATAAATTCATGGTGAAAAGCATGTAACATTTGTATGTGGCATGTGTATGAAAGGGGAAAGTCAATAATTTTTTGATTTTGGGAGCTCATATTTATTCCATTAGCATTTTTTGGAGACTCTTGTCATCAGCTCGGAAAACGGACCATCTATAAGTTTTTTTACTATATTTTGTAAGAGTTTTCAAATGTCGCTTTAAGAGTACAATTCTTTATTTTATGTAAGCTTAATCCATAATCTTACCGGTTTTGTTCCTTTTTCGAAAATAGTGGAAAGCCCTTGTATATTTACAAAGTCCGAAGCAAACGGTGCATAATGGTAGGGAAAATACCAGTTCCAAGAAGCACAGCCTTGATAGTAATATTTTAGAACCCAGCATAGACCCCTTACATATTGAAGTGCAACAGCATAACGAAATTGGAGATTTTCAGGGGGTACATCAAATTTAGACTCGTAATATCTGTTTTTAAATCCGTCTTCCCATAGTCTGACTTCATCATTGTTCTCGTCATCAGCATCATCTAAATTTGCTGTTGTACTAGAACGTTTGGTAGCCCCATTTGACGCCGTTCTTACAGAAGATGCTGCCTGTTTATAATTCGTTATGGTTTGACTTTTATCTTTACCTGGGCCAACTGCCGTCGGACCGAAGATAGATTCTTCCAAGGCTTTAAAGTTATTATTATCTCTTTGTTGTCTCGCCTTATATTGCTGCTCCCTCCTTTGCCTATCCTTGAATATTTGATCCTCAACATTTCCTAAGTCTGTCATTATTAGTTGAACCCTATCTAAATTAACGTCACCTGAATCCGTTAAATATCCTTTGGTCTTGTAAACACATTTTTTGTACAACTCAACCAAACGATCAACTGCACCTTCTCTGATTTCTAAACTGGGTAGATGAGGTAAAAAATCATTTCCGACAAAAAAACACATGAATACCCAGTCATCTAAGACTCTCTCAAAATCATATATGAAAGGTAAATTGGGCATTTGCAGAGTTTTTTTAAGATATTCTCTCAACACACTTAATCGGACAAATATAAATTTCACTTCTGCTCCAATTGGAACATCTGGCGAAAAATGATTATTACTTGTGCCAGCTGCACTTAGACCCATACATTTGTCCATTTCGTGACCAAATTGATTACAGATGTCACATGGTCGTGGCTTATTTGGCAGGAATTCTTCACGAATTATAGTAAAGTTAGGCTCGTGAGTAGCGAGTCCAAGCATTATCAGATCTGCATCAGCCCCGCAAAGAACATGATGTGTATTAGGATTATGGTCAGGCTGCGCACGTTGCTTTCGTATATAGTCCATGATTTTGTGTTCTCCTTCTCCAGGTACATTTGCATCGGATAAAATAACTTGTATTCCTTTCCATGCCGGATTGTTATTAAGGCGATCATGTATATAATAGTGTAAGCATTTACTTAGTCTATCCATAAAAGGTGTTCCTGGAGTTATGCAGTTTGAGTCAAAATGTTCTCCTTTTTCTTTTTCCGGAGGAAGTTTGCAGCCTAAGAATAACAATGATTTAAGCATTAAAAATACATCAAAGTAAAGTCAATAAAATGAATAAACTACATACATACTAACATTGTAAGAGTATCAGACCACGAACATACTTTGAACGGCGATAAGATGCACGTTATTCTCTTTTGAAAGAAATATATTGAGCCGCCCAACAAAGACACACTGATTGCTAATACTAACTTTAACCAAATTGGCTTCAGTCTACTCGTCGGGTGTCTGAGTAAGAGACTACCGACCATTGTCAAACGGTCAGAAGACGCTATAAGCAAACCCTTAAAATTGTAAGAAAAATCTCACAAATGAAATTTGCCGGGACAAATTAAACGAGAAACAAGGAAGACGCTCTATTCGGGAGTACCCTGCACCCTCTTCTACCAACACCAAATGCAGCTCGCTCTACGAACTTGTTTGTAATAAAAAAAAATGCATCCCAATCGAACTCGACCCGTACAATTCAGTTTTGTTGAGAAATAAACGAATTAAAATATCAGCACATACACGCAGCACATAAACCAATTCAATCGCAATTACAATGCTGTTGATAGAATTCAATAAAGACGCGCAGGTATATGTGTGTGTACATGTATATAGTCAATATAAGCATTATTATAACTTCTGTTTCTTTACCGATCTTGACGAAACTTTTCACAGTAGATTTTGTTGTGTTGCAGATTATTCGTATATTCTTAAAAGGCCAATTGCATTTAAATAGTGGATTATTTTTTATTGGTTTATTTTTTATTTATAGCAATTAGGTGGAGGCGGGGGGAAGGCGTCAGCTATAAAATGAAAGTTACTTGATATTCTCTTAAAAGATAAAAGATTTGCTTAACTAAAAGGTTTTCAGTATTAATTTCTCGGGGGAAGTTATCGATTATCGGAAACAAACTTGTACTGCGTGGGCACAAGGACCTTCATTCAAAATTTTAAGTCACTAGCTCTTATGGTATATCGAAATCCTGTTTTTGAGCAAATCCCTTCGGCTTTAATAGCTAATCACCAAACTTCAAAACGTGTTGTCATATTGGCTAGCCAAATAGTTGCGACAGCTAGCGCAAATTGCAAGATTTTCTGTATACGAGTGCATCATTCATATGGCTGTGGAGGCTTATGTTATGGCTTATGTTCCCCCGAAGGGGGAACTTAAAATTATTTTCAATCATGCCAATCATGTTATGGAGAGCGCGCGGCATTTGCTGTGGGTAGAAGAAGGTTCAGGGGTTTCCATAGTCGCACACTCCCGACTAGAGCACTCTTACTGATTTGGTTTCAAGAGTTCTGTTCTATTTGCTCCGCTGTCAATTTTTTGTTTGTGGCTTTCACCAATTACTGTGTATAAATTATTCAACATGCTGCCTTTCACATAATTTCATTTGGCATATCTCTTCTTGCTGCTATTTTCTTCATTTTTAAAGCTAGTGTCTATCTGTCTGTGAGTCATCACTACTTACGTAGGCTACGTTTCATGCCAATTGAAGGTAAAGGCAACACTGTATTGTATCCGAGTCCGCATTGCAGAGTCTTACCAATGAATAAAATGTTGTTAGTCTATAGCCAATTTAAAATCCTCTTCAGACTGCAGGCCGCCTCCGGAGAATCTGGGGCCGTTCTAAAGGTTATCTAAAGTACAATTATCCAAGGTTAATTTTGAGAAGTGGAACTACTTTCTCGGCTATTTATGTTCGTTAAAGGTGCCTAAGCCTACACTTTCGATGTGGGAGCAATCCCGCTTGACCAAGGCTGAGATTCCGAACTGGCTTGATATATTTTTCCTGGAAGAACGCTATCCCACCCTAGAGCCGATGAAGACACCCAGCATACAATATTTTGCGTCAAGCTTTCAAGAAGTTTTGCTTCAATTATCGAGTTCGTGTGCGTTCATGGGTCGGAAGGTAACTTGATAACAGATCGATTATTCAATATGATCAAGTTGTCCTTCCAAGTAAGAGGGGAAGCTCAACTTTCTGGGCTACTATCAATATCCGTGATCCACTGATCCACTGATCGGATGCACTGGCCTTCCTTTCTTTCTTTTTTACCCAAGTGTTCATCAATCAAGATGCCCAATTAGACAATTTAAATAAACCTGTAGGCATATAAGAGTCCGACTCCGTTTGCGAAAACAATTTGGTTCGCTCCAGTACCAGCGATGCATTAACTCTCCTGATCACACCTTACTTAAATGACATGAAACAAGCCTCCCTAAATGAATTATTTTTACAGGCCTCGTTCATTAGTACGTCTTGACGATGCATTTCTTTCGAGATATGTCTTCAATGCTGAAAGTACGAACATTTTTGACAATTCGGATCTTACAGCAGCTTACTGATGATGAAGCAATGCGCAAGCTATTGAAATTCCTCAAGCTAGCCGGTTTTCTGCTGGGAAAGTAAACTTTGAATTCAAGGGACTTTCTATATGATATCCCTAGCAATCATATATTATATGACGATTTTCTCAAAAAAAAAAATGTTGCAAGCATTGCCCAGACTGTATGTGGTGGATGGATCGCAATCCCGAACGTGTTCTTCTTTCCAAAGGATCAATTATCTTTTCTGTTGAGCATGCATCTTTTGGATACATCTTTAGACTATTGGGCACTTGGGCTCGCCTTTGAATTCTTTCCTGTCCCTACCTATCTACCTGGTCTCCAGATACTCCTCCTCTGTTAGGAACTCGAAGAATTTGGATGAGCCATGATATCTGTCAAGGACACCTCAAAAAATTCCTCGCATCTTAGCTCTGTCTTGGAACGCTTCAACTGTGTCAATCTGGCGGCTACTGACATAGCTTTGCCTACTGACATAGCTGACTCGCATTGGTCTGGGTCGGTTTCCTGGGCTCCGGGACCGGCTACATCTCCAGCTAAAGGAGAACTGTTTCTCCAGGTTGGTTGACAAGGGCTTGCATGTAGCAACTGAAATTTTCGATATCAAGGCTGAGCTTGTGACTTTTGAGCCAATCTGCACATTGTTAATAAGCTTCCCGGTGAAAACGGTGAATTTGAACCAGAAGTAAACAATGCAAATATGTACTACAGCAAATCTGGTCTATCATGTCGTGAAAATTGTGCCCCTTTCCACGATATAATGCCTTGAGAAGTCGTAATGCATGGCAGAAAAGTCAGGTTGCTCTTGGAGCCAGTATATTAGTGGATGTTGCCTTTACAACCGGCGCCCCTAGATTCTTGACCTCACTCCCGGATAGCCAGCTTGGCCAGGACATGACTCTTAGTTATATCGACGAGCTGTGGAGACAGCGGGAATCCAGCGCATCAACTTAAGCAACTATGAGTGAAAAGGGGCTATCGCGTTTTGACAAGATAATGTTGATTATATTAAGCTTAGTGTAGTATAATATATACATAAAAATGTGCACTTGAAAAACTATCAACCAGCGTTCAAGAGAACGTAGGTCACTCAAATATGCAGCGCATACAATTCGTCCACTAGCCAGCTTTGGCGGTTTGAGTGGGAAGCCTTATGAATTAATGTACATAGCAGGTCAACCGCTGCGCGCATGGACATATATATATATATACTCTGCTACCGTAACTGCTAAGTCCGTCGCAACCAGCATTTATTGTCGCCTTTACCCACCCGGTCAACGACTCTGATGGACAGCTGGCGACTACTCTAAGCGTTAGTGCTGAGGGTTCCTATTTTATAGTATGTGGCAATTCGCACGCTTTGGGGTTGCAGGCGGTCTTGCTATAGGGGAGACTCTGATGTCTATTATATATGTGTGTAGCCTTTAAGTGCTGGTCACTGTTGGGCCCACACACTTTTCGAATGACACCAGCCAGTAGCCTACAAGATTTTAAGCAAGCCGACAATCCTCCCCGGTGGTTTAGATGGCAAGAGCTTCAAGGACAGTAGCCTGACGAAAGCGACATTTTCGCCAAAAACGTGACCAGTTACCACCTTGGTTCTGCTCTGAGTGGTGACTGCTCCAGCAAGACGTGGACGCTCTCTATGGTGGGAATGGAAGACTGCCATAGCAGAGCACAGAAGACTTCTGCAAGTTGCCAAATCTGCATAATATTGACTGAGACATTAGTTATGCCATTTGATTTCATCATTTGCCAGATAGTGGGTTCCACAATATCTAGGTCTGGCTTAGATTGTGGAGGGTGCTAGCGTCGTTTCTGGTAGGCAGGGTGGTCGCTGTGAAAGGCAAGATAGCCCCAGACAACGGCATTAGCATACGAAACTGCATTTCTGGCGGGCAGACGATCAGGCATACCGACAGCATCGCCTACCTTGATGTGACACTTGACAGACGGCTTACGTGGAAGAAAGTTAACAGGACCAGCGGTCACTTTAAGCGGGCCATTTTAAAAGCTTACCAGGTCTTTGCGGAGCATAACATGCGTTGGTATTTCGACATTGAAAGCGATATACCGTCGCATTTAGCACAACTTACAAAATCCACCAGGAGTCTATGGAGCCTTAGACAATCTCACTTTCCCTTAAAAAGTATCCTCACTCATTGATGTGGGACCATAAATAATGCACAAAAAGGCCTATTAAATATCCTTTGGCTTCGTTATGACACAGCTGTTTCAATCGCACACTGGGTTCTACATCAAATAAATGATTACAAAGACCATATTTAAATTTTAAGGTGAGGGTTGAACGCCTTCTTTTTTTAAATATATAAGAACTAGCGGGTATAACCCGGCCTTGCCCGTGGAACGTATGCTAAAAATCAACGTTCTCAAAAAGCTTCGAAAATGATTATGAAACTTATCGGACGGTAAACAAACAATTTTCATAGAAACGTTTTCCGCCAATTTACCAATGTTGCGAGTGGAATTTCCCAAATCGCTGAAACGCGTATTCATTATATTCTTATGTAGAGTTTTGAAAATAAGTTTAGAGCAGATCGGACACAACTTAAAACTTCGCCCAAAAAATCTTTAAATCGCATTCCCCCCGAAGAAGTTTGAATTCTGCGAAAAGTGCGAAACACGTATCAAATG